ATTGCCTGCAAGGTATAGGGACCGAAGGGCTAAGTGGCCCTAGCTATAAAAGTGGAACACTAAAATTCTGATGAGGAAAAAAAAAAAACAAACAAACAGAGAAGACTTATCTCAGTTATTATTAGAGAGGAAGAAAATTTCTCTCACAATGGTTCATTCTTTGATTATGGTTCCACAGATATGATTAACAGAAAAGATAAAAAAAAATGTAATCCTATGTTCTGAAATACTCATCTCTATTTCAATCTGATTTTTTTTTGTTTGTTTTTGTTTTTGTTTTTTTTTTTGATTTTTTTTTTTTAAATTTAAGCTGACCGCAGAAGGGCAATCTTCCTTACCATTAGTTTAGTGGTGGTATCTGTATGAGTAGCGGTGCAGTGGTAGTAACAATAGTTGTACGTAGTCTTAAGCATCGTTCTACTGTTACCACATGACAGGTAAAAAATAACAGGCATTTGGCTGGTGTTCTTGCAGACTTCAGGCTTGAGATTTCTTTTAACTTGCTACCTAATAATTATGTTTAAGCAAACCTGTATTTAATCCTATTATGTATATGAACACAAAAAATTCAAAGCAATTTAAAAATGAACAAAAATAAATAACTAAACAGTATCAGATGTTGAGATATACACACTGGAATTCTGACTTTGAGATAATGTTTTTTTAAACAATTGATTGCTTTATTCTTTCGTTTGTTGATTCATTTATTTAACATTCATTGGGAAATCTTTATATTCTAAGCACTATGCAACTAAAAACATGAGTAACACAGCAGTAGTCTCTGTCATAATGGAATTGCTGTTTGGAAGTGCATGAAACTTAGAGAAAATAAGCAGGTTCAAAAATTACGAAGTTGAGTCTTGTAGCATTTAACAAAGTGACTGGTAGAGAAAATAAGACTACGGATCACAGAGTGAGAAACAGAGATATTCTCCTCAGTCGTCAGTGGCTCTCATGAAATTCCTTCTGCTCTTATGAAATTCAGGACGAACCTAATGAAGCACTGCGGACTGCATAGTTCATAAAAGAAGCCCATACGTCTGGCTTTAGTTTCTGTGTGTACAGTATCCAACATCTAGTTTATTTAGTAGAATACACTTAATATTTTGTGAACACACCATTGATAGTTACAGAATGAAGGAATGAACTGTTTCACCTCAGAATCAACTTGTATATAACTTAAACTTCTTGTTTTCATTCTTACTAAAAGCTTGATTTATCTTCTTAGATTGTCTTTATCTTTCCTTTATTATTCATTTACAATCTAAACTGATTTTGGAGATCTCCCTGGTTTTGGTGAAACTCAAACATTGAGGTGTTAAGAAGCTTTCACTGCACCTAAGAAGCTTCAAAATCAGCCTAAACAAAGCCCCAGAGAGGATGAAGCCCGAAGGAGAAATTTCAGTGTAGTCCAGACATATCTATATAATGATAAATATTCCAATTTCCTTTGGAGATTCATTAGAGGAGGCTCTGCTTCAATTTCTTAGAACCACTAGAAATTGAATCTTTCCTCCAGAGTAATGCACCCAATGTGAGTTGCTGTGGTGAAATGTTGGTTCAAAAACAAGGTTTATTTGAGCAGATTTTATAGTGCCATTCGTCAACTTCTGACAAAAATTGGTCTGACAAACAGCTCACATATATTTGGGAAAGTAATTAATTGTGCTATAATGTCAAGGGCAAGGTTTTATGTCTGTTTGTATAATAAATACATGAACTTGCTCTTTCCTGAAAATCATTTCACCAATATCGCTGTATACTCCTATAGAAACCAAAAAACACATATTTTCTTGCAAATTTGCGTGACTCTTGTTTTACCTTTCTTTTTGATGTTGATGCTACATGCAGAATTATTTGGCCTAAGTAGGCTTTGCATTGGCCCAAGAAGAATGAAGATTTCAACAAGAGAGGAAAGAACACATTCAGAATGTGGACACTAGATAAGCTTAGAGGAAAGAAGTCTATATTATGCATTGGTGGGCAAGGATGGGGACTGAATGACTGGATGAGTATGTTGGAGAGTAATGAAAACGAAGTTCCAAATGTCCGGCGGATTCTGCCAATACAGCTTGAAATTGATGTAAAGGGAAACAGCAAGCTATGGTTCGTTAATGAGCAGAAGTGTGTTATAAATGTTTTATAGAGATGAACCTGATGGGTGAATGCAGGTTACATTTTGTGTGAGGAGAGTAGAAAAAGAGATACGTGCCAGCAGTATGGTGTAGGACATTTTCCAGATAGAAAATGGCCAGATCTTGTATCACTTGTAACGCTGATGTGAGTCAGTAAGACTGGGGAGAAAGTCTTTTAGAAGAAATAACAGATTTGCGTATGTTAGCAAGAGTTTGGACATAGGGAATGAATGTGATGGAAGAGTAAAATATGTTTAGAAAAATGGCAATATTATTGGTCAAATATAATGGTTTAGTTGGTCAAGCTAACAACATATAGAACCTGCTTAACCAGCGATCATTCTGTTAATATAAATGTTGCTCTTGACTCCAGGAGATTCATTGTCTAGGGTGAGAGGTAGACTAGTAAATAGATATTTATTTGTAGTACAATTGCTGTGATAGAGGTAAGTACAAGGTAATATGACAGCACACAAAAAGGAGCAAATCACACAGCTAGGAGAATACTTAGGAAAGCTTCCTAAAAGAACAAAAATCTAGGCTAATCTCTGGAACGGAGGCAAGAGGTAACAAATTAAGAAAGATGTGACAAACAGTGTTATAGGTAGAAGTGCTAGCAGGGAAAAATGATGAGGAGTAAAACCTAAATTCTCATTTGTTGAGGATGATGAAGAGTTGTGTATACTGTTTTAAGGAGATTAGACTGTATATCCCCTAGGAAGATAGTGTGGGAGAGAGTTGTTCATTTATGGGACTATTACCTTTAAATTCACTGAACATTTGCATACAGGTATCATTGTGATAGATAGAAATGCTAAATTTGCAGACATGAGATATAATTGGAAGTCATTCATTAATAGTTGAAGCAAGTGAGAGGAGGAGTTCTTAAAAGTACTGTAATGAGGAAAGAACCATAGATTTTGAACTGAAGTATGAAAGAGAATATTCCGAATTAGGTAGCAAATTTAGTCAAATAAAGGCAATGCGAAATGTTTGTCTTAGTTTTAACATAACATAGGTAACTCTTCAGAAACTACTTAAAAACTTTTGGAAACTGAATTAGTAAACTTTCATTTTATCTTTCCTTTCCTTTATGTATTTTCCCTTCCAATCTGAGCTATAGAAGCATGAGTCCCAGTTCATGCACAGTCTTTATCGATTTTTTAGAATCACAGATTAGTCAAAGGTTAGAGCAGAAAGAAACCTTGGAGACCATCTGGTTAAGTGGTTTTTATATTATGTTTTCAAACAACAAAATGTTTTCTGACCAAAAAAAAAAACCCAACATAGAAACATTTTTAAAAGTAGATAAAAGTAAGGCTGTCTTTATTGGAGGTGATGAAAGACTGCCATTTACATCACTTCAGTTAGGTTCATCTAGCCCTTTATGGTAGACTCTGAGGAAAACCTCAAGCTCTAAAGGGCAGCTTTAGAAAACTATGCTTAATATTTTCATTTACAGAAAAAAAAATTGCTCAAAGACGTATCATTATACTTAATTTTAGAATAAATATTCTGCCTTCTGGAAGACTTGCCTACACTATATAAAGAATTGTTCTTCACTAATGTTACTTAAAAGTTATTACCAGGTGCATTTTTTCAGAAACTGTACTGATTAATGAACATCAGGTTTCTTGTTGGTGTATCCCTTGAAAACATGGGCTAAGGAAGAATGCGGTCATTCCTTCCACCTTCTCTGGACTGGTAGCACATGTCCCTTTGATAAAACCCTGTCTTTTCTGCCAAAGACAAATCTTATTTCTAAAAAACAGTTTTTACTTACAGGAGAAAAGGGGGAAAATCAGGAATCCAATGTTGAGGGGATGAAAGTTAAAATGATTTTTTAGTTTTTAAAACAGGTAGTAATGACAAAAATAATAAAAATAACCATAGTAGCCCTTTTAAGCTTATTTTCCCTGGAATAAAATGTACTGCATCAGGAAGGGGCCTACTCACCTCAGAGAGCAAATTAAGCCTCATTTTACCTTCTTGACACTTCTTATATTTAGAATTTTACCTTAATAAGATATAGAAATTTATCTCCAATAAAATGAATTTGGAAAAGTTAATTTATCTTGATGTTTCCAGAATGGAACAAATATTTTAGTGTTTTTATATATGGTAAAGAGGTTACTTGACCACTTAGTCTTATACTTCTTTGGTTATTAACACTTATTTTGGTATTAGTCTGTCAGACACTTTGCAAGGGACAGGGATGTAAGGAGAAGATTCCATTGACCCCACTCTTGAGGAGTCCACACTAACGTGAAGGAAACAAATCACTGCTATGTGGTATGATAATTTGATAATACAAAATCAGTACAAAGGGAAACAAAATAATGATGCTTTTCTATGAAATAAGATGATACTTTAAGTAAATTCTGAAAAATGAATAAAAATTTAATGAGAGTTTGTGGTCAACCTTGAAAGTGAACTATGAGGGAGGGTATATACCTCAGTCATTCATCTGATTTGGAAAATAATGGCTTACTTGGTAAGGGATTATTTCATAAAGCTGTGGTTGATAGCAGTACTCCTTGGCCAAAACAAAAAGTAAAACTGGTTATACAGAAAAATGAAAAAAGGTCAGTAAACAAAAGAATCATTTCCAAACAGGGCACCAAATTCTGAGTATAGAGATGGAGATCGGGAAATTGATTGAATGAGAGCTGAAATCACTGAGTGAACAGAAAAAGTAGGAAAATACTTACTGAGAACAAAATACTTGGAACAGGCATTGATTTACATAGTTAGATTTTATCTTTTCATAAAACTCTGTTAATGTAAGAAACTGTTCAACTTCTTTTTCTATGCATACTTCATATTCCAAGAATAGTTTCTAATGAAGTTTAATAATACTAGAGAGAGAATGAAAATACTTATTTTTATTATTTTTGTTCACATTGAAATAGAAGCTAACAGGTAAGCTTCTCAAGTCCTTTGTGAGAAAAAGTCCAAGTAAACATCACCGATGGAAACAGCCTCAATTCTGTAATCAGCATGACTGTATAGGCGTGTGACTAGTTTTTTTTTTTTTTTTTTAAGTAAGAACATTTTTTTAAATTCTGAAGCTGTAGATTACGTGCACATCAACTACTATAGTTTCTAAACCATAGCAAGTGTTAAAAAGCTTTCTCTTTGCTGTTTATATGTTGCTGCAGTAGCTAATTTCAGAAGAGGAGTGTGCAGTTAAATTTGATGAAGCACACTGCATCTGCTCAATTCCATTGAGTCTAATGGTCCTGCCAAAAGGCTGCATTAGCATTATAAGACAATGTTCTCCAGGCTCAAATAGATGTAGGACAGGCCTCATAATAGAGATTCTTGCGTCACCAAATCTAGCAAGAACGTGCCTGAAAGGCTGTAGCACAGAAAAATAACTGGATTCAGTCATATATATATAATCTCCTCCGAGGTTATACAGGGAGCAAGTTTATCTTGAATTCTTATGAAAACAAAACACCAAAAATTACTGATACTAGGATGTTGATTTCTTTCTGAATCAAACTGAAGTTCTTGAGGATTGCAAGAAAGGTGACAGCCATTCAGTGCTTGTTATGAGGATATTTAATAAATTTGGGATTAAATTAGATTAAATTGACATAGTAGTGGTATTCCGGGATGCAGATTTCTTTGGAAATCTGATGAAAACTGGAAATCCTCTACCAGAAAGAATGTACAACCAAATATATACATTAAATTTAGCATATATTTTCAGGGGGTTCAACTGTTTCCTAAAGGGTATTTTTGGACTTCAAGTTAAAAAAAATTTCTGTAACTGAGAAATATTAGGAATATTTGGTCCATGGATTTCTAAGAACAGAAATAAAGAGCACAAATTATTTTACATGGATCAGGTGATGACGTTTCATTCTTTGAATGAATTTACCATGGCAGGCTTCTTCTAAAGGAGATCTCCCTTGACATAACCTCTATACATTGTCTTTTATCCCACTGTGCTCCTAGCAACACCCAGTCATTCTTTATCATATAGATTTTTTTATTTTTTCACAGCAATTAATAAAACTAAAACTTATTTTTTATTGATTTTTTTTGTTGCAGCCTATTCCCATTAGAATGTAAGCACATGAACAACTTATTTGTCTGTTGACAGCTATATCCCTACCATTTAGAATGCTGTCTGGGAATACATAATGCAGTAGTATCTGGTTGTAAAGTTGGCTAACTACCCACTGGCAATATATATGAATTCATGTTAAGTCAAGAATGATAATGACGAACAGCTGGCTGGAAATGCATTACTGCAGCATGATAAGCTTCCAGAACATACTTAAATGGTCAATGTTTCTTTTTTTTCATCTCATTTCTTGCTCCATTTAATTTTTTTTGTCACAAAATATTAATTTTCTTAAAACGCCCATTTATATGCAATGTTTCCAAGTCCGAATTGTGGTAGAGAATACATCTTATGGCACTAGTTTTGTCATTTATAAAAAACAGCTGCAAGCTCTTTCAGGCATAATATAACCTTGATAGGGATGAAACATGAAACTGAACTGTGTATATATGTGTGGTTTGATAGCAAACTTTTCAGGGCACTGAAATATTCTTGAGAACTTTTCCATGTTCACCATATCACTTCATATCTTTAACTAGGAATACATATGTTTAAATTATATTTTAATATTGTCACAGATATAAAATATAAAAGTTATTGTATCCTCTTAGCAAGGTTCCACAACTTTGTTCCTGTCTTATATGTCACTTTTAAGTCATGTTTAATAATAATTTATAGCTGTAAAACCTATTTGGCACTTGATAAACTGAGCTTCAAAGGAAGTAATTTTTATGCCAACCAGTTTGACATTTGGGAGACAAGGCAGACTCCAAACAGGATTAAAATTCCACTAAACCTGATGGAATAGATCAACCAAAAGAGAAAAACTGCATAACATAATTTTAAGATGTAAGTCAGATAAATCAGCTTGGTAAAATCAGATGAGGGAAGCATTTTTTCTTGATTGGCTAAATAGTAGAGCAAATAGCTTTCTATTCTTTATTCAAGAGATTTTCAAGATTCACATTCATCATTTCTTAGAAAGATAAGGAAAGAAATGTTCATGATGTTGTTTTTCTTCCGTAAGTTAATGCTGTCATTATTTTACTTTCTAGTATAAATCCAACAATTCAAAATAACAGATTTTGTTAAGTCCCAGACTTTCTCTGAAGCCCCTAATGATGGCAAAATTTTAGCTAATAGTTTTATGCTAAGTTTAGTTAACTTTTAGAACGAGAAATGATTCTATAATCCTGATTTCAGCATGCGTACTCCTTGCTGAACTGAATGATATTTATGACTCCTGGCCTTTTTATAAATAACTGTTTAACGCTATAAGCATTAATTAATGAAGGGTTTGTTTCGTCCCATAGCATCCACATATAATTCATGCTTCCTGCCTAGAACACTAGGTAGACTATTTCGTAGTAGCTCAGAACATTCTACTTATCATCTGATGATGGAGAAAGTAACGTACACTTTGTCTCTGTATGTCCATTTTTTTTTTTAGCCCATAAACAACAGAAATGTATTTTGCAGTTCTAGAGGCTGAGAAGTACCAGCTCAAGGTGCCAATAATTTCTGTGTCTGCAAGGGCCCTTTTTCAGCTTCATAGATGATTCCTTCTTGCTGTGTCTTCAAATGAGTATCCATCCTTTGATCATATCATGGGAACTTTATCACACAGAGCACAATAAAAAATATAACTACTCCATCAAGTCAACAAGATGACATTTTTTATTCTGTTTTCCAAAGTATCGTATTTCTATAAAGCTAGGCTTTTATATGCTCTGTAATGGCTGAAGTGATCAGATAAGTTTTTAAATTTTTTTCTGTAAATTATTCTTTAAGGAGAATAACATTGTAGGACTATTACATGTAAAACTTACCTTAATAGGGAAATAATTGGTTTTAGATGGAAAGGAACATAAGCATAATTTTATATATAGTTACATTTTAAAAATAATTTTGCTGGTTGAAAAATTCATACATCTAAATTTGGTAATGATTTTAAGATACAAAAACTTGTTTCTTACTAAGAATAAGAAACAATAAGAAATTAGCATTATTTTCTGAAGATAAGATTTCGTCAGAGAGAGTACTATGACTACAAAGGTGAAATGACTCCATGTGTATGGAGACAGGAATCAGAGATTCTGAGTTTGTGATGAAACTTAACTAATCATAATTCTATTTATATAACACATCTGCCGTTATTTTTTCTTTTATCTCTACATATTGGAAACATAGTGAAATACTACCATTTTCTGAAGTTGTAGATATAAGTTCAGGTGCAAGTAATAAGCATTGTGATTCAAGCGCCACAAATAACACACAAACACAATCAGACCATGAACATGTTATTATTTGAGTGATATGAAAGCTTGTTACTGATCTGGTTAATTCAGAAAATATCAGTTACATAGTTCAGTTAGGATTAAGCCTTCTTAGCTTGGATTTCTCCAATGCTTTGATTATGTGCGTGATTTAAAAATACTTATTATTTCCCTCAGAAGATTTATTTGTTGGAGATTAAAAAAACACTGAATAGAGTAAGTTCTTATTTATTTCAGGCACAAAACTCATAATAATTTATTATGAAAAATGCTTTTAATCTGTAAATGTTCAATGATTATCACATTTTTAAACTCATGTTACCCCACTTCTAGTGACAATAATAAAATTTGTGCTTGCTCTAGAAGCACATACACTACAAAGTGGAAATGGTGATAAAATCTCACTTAGAAAACAATAAAGTGCTTTGCAAGCTTCATACCTCATGAATAAGCTGCGATCACCCAAATTTTGAATGTATATGGTGCCATATAACATCATTTAAAAAAAAAAAACAAATAATGAAGATCCAGATATCTATTGGAGGCTGTCTACTCAAAAATTCATTCATTTTGAAAATTAAAGTGACTTTTTTTCCTCATACAAACTCAATATATGGAACATAGACTGATTATTTTTGTTGTGTGTGTACAATGACAAGTGAATCTCCTAAATTTTCCAACTCCCAATAGCAAACTAGAGCTTATGTAAACTTGTAAAAAAAAGAATAAAATATTGCAAAAGGACCCAGAATAGTCATTAAATCATGCTAAGTTTTTGTAGGCAAAAAAAGAAACCTTTGTTAAACCTTGACAGTTTCAAGATTGGGTTATTTAATTCTACAATTTCGACAGTGAGATATTTGAGGATGATGCTTTACTTCTAACATTTCAAATAAATTACATTAAAATATTAGAATTTCTTTACATGATGCTTGATCTAAATTATTACATCCTTATCTTTCAAAGAAAATAGTGGTAGTATGTATGTGTGAAACTAATCATTTAAAATAATTTGTTATATTATTTATTATAGAATATACTTTTTAAATTGTTAGTTTCCATATATGTTTATAGAATTATTAACATAAGTATTAGTAAATGTCCTTTCTTTGGGTTACATTATTTTTCCTCATACAGTGAATCAAGGTAGCAAAGGGTTGCTTTTCCATTTTGTTTTCTGAATTGATTATTTAAACTTTTGAAATCACAAAGACAACTCCCAGATCTCCCCATCATTTTCTTTTGCACAAATCTTGCCAATAACTCCTGAGGGCTCATAATGTAAATCTAGAGGACATTACAGAAATTTTCTTTTCTTAGAGTTTTCAAATGTGCTTATGTACTTTTCAGGGTTCTAATATAAGGAATTTCATTATTGCAAGTTGTATGTAAAATATAAATTAAATACTTGTACATTTAACTATGAAGAGCAAAATTTGTTTAGTGCATGTAATATATGAGTAGAGTCAACTCAAATCCAATATTTAGAATCCAGCTGCATCTTGTTCGAGAAACTGTATGTGTTGCATTCAGTGGAGTAAACAGAGTAACTCAGGTGTACGAAATTAGGTTTTGCCTTCAATGTCAGTGGCCCAATAAACATGGAGTAAAATAAAGACACTATGTAAGGTATCTGGTTTGGTTTTCATTTTAGGTCATAATGCTTACGTAAAGGGGTAAGCCAAGAAAATTCTTCTTGACCACACTTGAAAATGGACTCATTTACTGAGATTAAATTTCAGTGTATTTTATAAAAAATATTACTTTCACAGAAGTGAAGAGATACAATAGCACAATGGTGGTTACAATGGTAGAAATACATACTGCCATTAAATTGTTAGCAAGAGATTTAAAAATGACTGTACAGCACCGCATCAGAGAATTGTGTTAACAGCAAAATGATTAATGTTATTTTTCAATATAAATGAAATCCTTACTTTTTTAAAAGAAATATATGGGGTAAAAGTGCTTTTTGTTCTTCTAATTCCTACCAAAATATTTCCTGATGTGGAGCAAAAGACAGAAAAAAATGACAGTTGAAAAAAAGACATTCATGCATTTAAGCCGCCATTAGTCTCTGACTCTAATATAAGGCAGATCATTAATCTCTTGCAAAACTATGACTTTAGCCACTTAAACTCTTTTTTTAGTGCTTTATATGACAAGGACATGATAAGCCTTGCAGATTTAGAAGTTAAGATGTGTTTCCAACATGGTAAGTTAGACAAGCTCAGCTATTTTTTGAAACACCAACTTTACAATAAAAAATGCTTTGCTTTGGAGAAATGATGAAAAATAATAATAAAGACAGAAGGGGTCCTATAGAGTTTATCACAAATTACACTGTTTAGATCAATGAAAACATTTGCCTATGTGTCATCCTCTGTCTTGATGATATGGAAAAGGGTGACATTGAACAGGACCTGGTGGCCGTTGTTCCAGGCATAAAGAGCTCGATCTCTTGCATTGTAGTCAAGCATGGATATGTGAAAGTATTGGTTATGGAAGGGAATGTCTGTGTACTCATATGTGGAGGTTTTGGTGGAATAGGAATAATACACCTTGGCTCCAGTTAAGTGGGAGTTGGTGACATACAGTGTCCCACAGATCATGAAAGATTCCCCTGCACTTCTCTTGGGGTAGCCAGTGCTCCAGCTCTTCATCACCTCCAAGGTATCTTGGTTAAGTTGGCTGATGACAATATTACCTGCATTCTGGTTAGTTGCATACACAGCCCACAGCCCGATTTCATCAGCCATTAGGTCGATGTCAGAGAATCCACCCCAGGTGTAGGGGTAAACATTATGAAAACCAGCATACTCCAGGCTTCGTTGGGCAAGCACTCTCCCCATATCAAAGCTGTATTTGATGATGATATTACTCTGATACTTGTTAAAATAGAGTGAGCCATTGTAGACAACATGGTTAGTTCCTGCCCACTTGAAAGGAAGGTTGTATGTCCTTGATTCAGCCCCACTGACAAAGTCTGCAATTGATTTGTATTCACGAACAATTTTATTGTTAGTATAACTGTCCATGTACCAGACCTGAGAAGAAGGAAAAAAATAAATGGAGTGACCAAATTCTGTACTTTTCTGATAATTCCAAAAGAAAGACAGTGAGAGTAAGCACATATTAATATTATAATTCTCAGGCTCTGGAAGCCACATTTTCTTATTGCTGACCTGCTGCAATGTGAGTATTTCAGGTTTTGTAAAAATATTGCTATGGTCTATTGATGTGGAAAAGAAATAACTGAATTCACTGTCTTGATATTAGTTTGCCTTTTGCTTTTTCTTGCTCTGTTTTTTAAATTCCTGACCATTTGGTGCATATCACTGAGTGAATCAAACATATGTCAATGCAAATTACAACGCCTGATAAATCCATGCAATCAGTGAAAACTACGGCAAATATAACCTTGGCAAATTACATTTATTCTATCTTTGGCTCTGAAAAAAGGGTATAGTCTAATTTTGCATATTCAATTGAAATAAGTACCATAGAATCTTCTAGAAACACTTGTTTATTGGGCTAGCTTGTAAGTACAACTATATTTTAATGAAACCATTTTACTAACTTAATAACTAACCTCATTTGGATGGAACCCTTGAGAATCTTAATTTATACTGAGTTCTGCAATAGGATATAAATAGAACTATCGCAAGTTTTTAGTATATTGATTTACATAGTACAGGCATTGCCAACTTATGAAAATACCCCCAAAAGTTTCAGTGCTATATCTTTTAATATTACCTCTAGACTCCAGGGATATTTAAGCTTATTTAGCAAATTTGTTTTGCCCTTGAGTTTTTCACTTATTTAGTGCTATTGTTTTTTCACACTAAAGAACATATTTTAGAAAGAGTATAGAGGGAACTTTGTATGATTGTAATTAGCCCTTTCAAGCATAAAACATGACTAACATCAATAAAAAATAGATTCACTAAACTGATGAGCTGGAGGATGGAATATTTTACTGAGATAGATTTGCCATTCTTCCTTAAGTACGTTAATATTATAAAACAGAAAATATTTGCAAATTATGTAACAGTTTTCAAGTACAAACAAATACCCCTGAAGAAAATGAATAGTCCAGAAGAGACAAAGTGTAAACAGAACTTAATTCTAAGCAAAGGTGTTTGTGGGAGAAACATACTCTGTTGTTTTTTTCAGATGCTAAAGGATCTGTCATCCAAGCACCAAATCGGGTTCCAGATGTCTTGACCGTAATTGGGCCCGTGATTTTCATCAGTTTGCCACATGCTAAAATTAGAGAAACACAAACATGTTAAGTGAACACAGGCAATGACTCTAATACACATACTCACACTAAGAGCAAAGAAGGGGATCATAAAACTAAGTCAATCCATGGGACTAACATAACATTTCTGAATGAATGATTCTTCATAGTTCAAAGTCCTGGGCCTTTAACCAAACTTTGAACCATCAGGAGTTGCTTTATCAATGCTCCAAATTTTGAACATAAATTTTTAAAATGGGAAATGATTTGTACACTCTGAAAAGAAATAAATGAGGAACAACATTATTGTTACACCGATTCAGGGCTGCTTCTCTTAAGAAAAAAGTTAGGCAAGTGAAGCAAATTGCCCATACACCAGTTTACCTGATGGCCAGAAACTCCTGTCCTTCCCTGCCCCCATGCTTTGTGACTGTGGATAACTTATACAAGCCAGAAAAAAACAATTCCAACTGATTTTCAATCTGTATTGGCAAAGAAGCAGCCTCCAAGAAAGATATCTTTACAGGCTATCAATAAAAAATTCCGCCCGTCACAGTGGCTCACACCTGTAATTCCAGCACTTTGGGAGGCTATGATGGGTGGATCATGAGGTTAAGAGATCAAAACCATACTGGCCAACATGATGGAACCTTGTCTCTACTAAAAATACAAAAATTAGCTGGGTGTGGTGGCATGAGCCCATAGTTACAACTACTTGGGAAATTGAGGCAGGAAAATCACTTGAACCTGGGGGACGGAGGTTGCAGTGAGCCGAGATCGCACCATTGCACTCGAGCCTGGGCAACAGAGCAAGACTCTGTCTCAATAAATAAATAAATAAATAAATAAATAAATAAATAAACAAAAATTTAAAAATCAGTCACAGTCTATCAGAAAGAGGTAGAGTTTTGAAAGATAAATGCCTTATATAGATAACAGGTCTGATAGGGCAGATATGAACACACAAAGAACAAAATCCCAAAAACTCAGATCCTCAGACCCCAAAGTCACATGCAGATGAAAGATGAAGAGATGTAATACATGACAAAAATTTAATGACTTTCATGACAAATGTTGTAATATTTTATCAGCCCACCTGCAAATAAGATCTTAGAAATAACTTGGACTTCATAAATGCCAAAAGCAAAACCAAACAGAAAGCTAGGCATTTTTGTGAGATTTTAAGGAAGATTACCATAAAGTTTTAACTATATTTTAAAATATTGTTCTTGTCCCTTTATCTGGATTATATTAGTTTGGGTGCTTATCTTTCTTTTCATCTTAAATTCAAGTTTTATTTTAGATGGAGGGGTACATGTGCAGGTTTGTTACATGGGTATACTGCACACAGGTAGTTAAGAATGGCACCTAATATATAGTTTTATGAGATTTTTAAACAGCAAAATTTAAAAGTGATTATTATACACATTGCAAAAGGCAATATGGCTGCTTATAGATGTTGGGCTTTGGTCTGAACAAAAGTCTTCTTTCTCGTCCATTTATACCATGTTATCTTCTTCTATTTCTTTATTTTCTTAAAACTTTTTTGGGTCCTATTTGCTCTACATATCTTCTTTCCTCTTCTGCCCATTGATAAATGGCAGAAGATAAATTTCTATTAATTCCTGTTGGTTCTTGTTTGTTTGGAAGGAAAAGAACACATACCCAAAGCAAATCAAAGACAAACTAATTCTAACTTGGAGCTTATTTTGGCTCAGTTTTCTCGATATATGCTTCTTATAAGCATATCTTGCACTAACATTATATCTTGCACTATTAGTTCAGTGATAACTACAAATTTAGTAATCTCTAGCATTTCATAAAACCTGAATTGAATATATTTTTCCCCTTTTGTAAAAGAAATCAAATATGATGGCATCGTTATATCCACCAAGCGAGTTACTTTATGATTTCCTCAAATCTGAAAAAGGCTTTATGGCATTATCTGTTTTGAATAGCAAGACCTTGCATTAAGCCTATTTGGAATATGTAAGCCCTAATTGCTATAAACACATAAACAATATATGAGTAAATTAGTATCAATTTGAAATAGAAAATGTTAATCATATTCTGAATGGATCTAGTCGAGTATATTCTCTGAATGCAGAATAAGTGAAAGTAATATTATTTTTAATAATGTCCTATATAAATATTTTTTAATCAGCAGGTGATATGAGCATAACAATTTCAAGTGTAAGTAGAGTATAACAAATAAAAGGGCATTTCTTTCCCCTAAAAAGCATCATAAAACATGTGATATATTTTTCTAAGCATGGGAAAGTAATTCTGACTTAAGATGATAGACTGATACGTACTTTTATCTCCTTTCATTTTCTATGATCTCATTAAAATAATAGTACAGGAGTAAACCATGAGAGGAAACAACCAAAAGCAAAAAAGCAAAGCGAAGGTACAAGAGCCATTGGTGGAGAAGTTTTAATCAATTTTCCAGAAAGCAGGGTTGGTGAAGAGTGGTCATTAAAGATGAAGATGGAGTAAGATGCATCTGTGTCTATACAGAGCAAGTGAGACCTGAGGAGGGAGATTATCTTCCTTGAAGAGGAGAAAGAGAGGACTCAGAAACATAAGGAGGAAGAATGCTAGGAGTGAGACAGGACTCTGGAAACAGGTACACCACTTAAACCATGCCTTAAGAGCAATTGATTCCATCTTTATCTGTAGATGCAGGACTCCAGAAGGCAAAGAAAAACCAACTATGAAACCTATTAAGCCTATTTGGAATATATAAGCTCTCAGATCACTAATACACTGTATTATTTGTATACTAAAAAGAAGTAACTCAGAGAATAGACAAGATACTAGTACCTTCTACGAGATTTGTATAATATATGCTGTACACTGTGAAAGGAAAACACAAAAGAACCACTAGAGTTAGAAAACAAAAATATAATTATATTAAAAAATAGATTGGAAGATAAAAAGAGTTATCCCCCAAAATAAAGCAAAAAAGATAAAAAAGAAAATAAGAGAAAAAATATGGAGGCATCTAGGTTGTATCAGAAGCTCTAACATCCGGAGAGAAAGGTTTCTAAGATGAGAGGAGAGAGAAAACAAGGGGAGAATATTATCAAAGAAATTATACAGCGAATCTTCCCAGTAACAAAACCTCAATATTCAGATTAAAAGAACACATAATAATTACTGAAAAAAGATCTACTTAAAAAAAAAACTACTCTGAAATGTTAGAAGATGAATAATAAACTGAAATGGAAATTTTTAGAGAAAGAATATAAGCTTGTCCTTGCAAACAGATATAATTAGCCCAGAATTGGCCTTCTTATCACCAATACTGGATGCAAGAGGAAAATGATGAGGGCCTTTACACTTAGGAAGAAAATCAGAGAAAAACAGAATAAAGATATTTTTTGACATGTGAACTTCCCAAAAATTTACCTACAATGAACACTTTCTTCAGAAGTTACTTGAGGATATATTGCAGTGAGTACCTCAGGACAGGGGAAAACACAAGACAGGAAAATAGTGGTTTCCTGTCCCAGAATGACAACTCTGCAGATTGTCTTGAGAAAATCAGCCCAGAATGGACACACAGTTACAAGAGGGAGGTCTCAGAAATAAGTGGAATTGACACATAGATAGACTATATGGGATCCTCTAGAAAAACTGGGTATGGCAAAGGCAATTATTGATGTATACAAAATAATTCACTGAATTTAACTGAGTAATAGTCTTCTTTGAATGGAACAAATATGACATTGGACTTAAAGAGGAAGGAAATGTGTCTAAGTCTACCACTTAGCGCCTAAAGAACAATATTAACATTGCTATAATAATGTAAACACTCATGTCTAACTTGTAGAATCAGCCCATAAACTAATTACATAAGGCTTGTCAGGCAGCTCATCTGCTCTGTGATTATAGAGAAGCCAAAATGTTTCCGACCGTGACAACATGGAGAATAGGTAAAGTCCACGTTGTTAGGGAATTAAACACTGGGAGAGGAAATGGAAAAAACGATGGGGGTGTAATTGTCTTCATATTTTTAAAATATGGTGGTAAGAGATTTTCCTATTGTTGAAAAATAATGAATATTTAAATTTAAGACTTGAAATTACAGATTTTATAGGGTCGAACTATGAATAGTTATGAAATCATATAGGAGGAAACATGAAAGAAAGTGGAGTTGGCAAAGTTATCGAAATCCTCATCTTGCAGAGCAGGAAGCCAATAAACAATGTCTAAAACTGTAAACCAAAATAATTGAATAAAAAGCATGTTATTAGAAATATAGGCATAATCACTGATAGCCCTAAAATTAAACTGTTAAATGTGGTTAAATCTGGGGAGCAGAGCTGAAGAAGGAGACTGGTGCTTTTTATTCTAAGCATATAATTTTCCAGCTATGGGCATACAATATTTAGGTTATAATGGAAAAAGTTAAAATAGCTACAAAAATTCAGTAGCCTTTAATTTTATAAAGAAAAAATCACATTTATATATTGCCTTTTAAAAAATAATTTCCAGGTTTTATATGCCATGCTTCTCTGGGGCCAGGAAGTAGTTGAAATTGGAAGAGGTAAACAGTTTTCAGAAATGGAAGCTGTGAATACCCTGCATTTTAATTTGGTCTTTATCCTGTAAGGACTAGATTAAAACTGTGTTCTTTAAACTTTTAGCTCTGTCTTACAATTGACATGGCAATTTCTTGCTCTTCAAATCTTTCAACCTTAAAAAATTAGAATTTATATTATGAATTAAGTTATTTATCACAATATAACAAAGCTAATAAATTTACAGTGGCTAGTAAATGTGCAGGAGCTCTAATAAAATATGCTATACGTATGATTCAAATAGGAATGATGTATATTTCAAAGTAGTTAAATGATAACAATCTTGGAAAATGTATATTCCTGTTGAAGATTTGCTAAAGGAGAAGAAGTCTAAAACTTGAAAATATTTTAAAAATGTGAATAATTTTATGATTATTTGAAAAAAAAATATATATACAGGATTTTAGAAGTCAATTGAGTTTAATTTTGTTCTG